CACACAAGAGATTTACTTTTTTCTCATTTTGAAGACAGTTATTTGAAATTATATAGTCATTATTTGTACTCTGAACACTCACTCTCTCTGTCAGAATAATAAATTCACTACACCTATGATCCAACTACTTTATCTGGCCCTTTCAAGGAACTTATGAAGGGATTTTAGGCAAAATCAAGGTCAAGACAACAAACCAAATGTCCCAAGGGTAGACTTTCATAAGTTATTCATCTTAAATACATTACTTAATCGTTGCACAAATATAACCGTTGAATAACTTAGTTATCATTTTTGATTATCTGTAGCTTAGCAGACTTGTATTGATACTAGGTGATGATTGAAAGTGAAATGAAAACTTTGACCACAATGGAACTCAAACCAGCAGCCACCAAGTTGATGCTTTGACCAATTTTAAGCATATTTTATTCAAGAAACGACATACATCCTGCTTTCTTAAATATGTCACATTTATATATCCCTTTTAAGTTTCACTGGGTTCTTAAGCCGAAGATTGACTGAATAAAATTTCAGTCAGTTTGAATAATTTTACTAATTAAAGTTAAAATGAGAATACATGATAAGATGGTTAGTGTGAATTAGTCATTAATCGAGCGTTCGGCTCTAGATAGACCTAATGAAGGAGGATAAACTCCTTATTGCCTTTCAGTTATAAGCGGTCAGTAAAATACAATGCTACGTGATAATTTAAGATGCACCGACTAAATTCATCTATGTATCATTCAGTGCATATATTCGCACTGAAAACAGAATCCACCACCCATCTTTTTAAGTCCCAAGACGTTATTCACTAGGCTGCGAAATTATGATGATCATTCTTAGTCCAAAGAACATAGGTTGGTATTGTAACCTATTATTTTCTTCAGTTGGCTGAATTGTACCAAATTTATCAGCCAGTGTCGGCATATGAGCTCCTAAGCGGATGCAATTTTGAAATCGAACCCTTTTCAACAGAAAACGTCATAGTACATAGTTGAAAGTAGTGTTGTAATCGTAAGAGCTGCACTGAAAATAATTGCAATACTGATTCAAATTGAAATAAATTTTATAATGTAGAACAACAGCATGATATTTTCTGCTTGTAATCAAAATGACACGGGTAGCTAAAGTCATCCAATGAAAGCTTTAACTTAGTTAATAATATTCTTAAAAATCTGTCATATTTGATGATGGATATTTTATTATTATTTTAGTACACGCAATTCACGATCCATAAGATCTTTCTATTGTTCTCATGAACAGATTGGACTCCAATGCTGCAAGCAACAAGTATTTTTATCATTTTAAATTTAATCTGCTTATTAGATGTCATAGAAAAACAATATCATTTACTGAATAGCTTTTCGGACATAATTTATTGTCCATAGGGATTTCAAGGTAACTTCAAAACTTTGGGACATGGCTTATATAGTTCTAATTATTGTCTCCTTCTTTAAGACATGGGGAACAGTAGGATATTCCGTAAATCTGAAAGAGGTACAGAGTCATTCCTGCTAAACTTAAACAGTAATTCGGAAGACTAGCTTGTAAGTTTCTTTCTCCATACAAGGTAAGTTTTAATACTGTAGCTATTCACCATCCTCGTTCGTTATGGTGAGTAATTGCATACAGCTATAGTGGAACCTTTTGCCATATTCCTTATTTGATCAGGGTTCATAAATCTTGGTTTACCAAGTGAAATGTACTACCGAACGATATCAATAGCTACAAACCATACAGGCTGGTCTCTAGACTATGCTAGCCAGATTACAGTGATCCAAACACCGGATGGTCTTTTCACTCGTTTGCGGTCAACCTCATTACCGATGTGCTCAGATTAACTGTCAGACTCTGACAGACCTTAAACAGAATGGTCAAACTGCAAATGACTTACAAATGGCATGGTCCACATTAACTAATAGTCCTCACAGCTGAATAGTTGTCAACTGCTAACTGTGGTATCAACAAAATTTACATGAGAAACCACCCAGCCAAGATCACAAGTTGTGATCTGTGATACAACTGTTACGGACTAGCAAAGTATACTACTACTGAACATCATGAGTAGCTGGAAAACACTGAGGCTCATGATCTAAATATGGACAATAAACGTTATCCAGTAAATAAGACTGTTTTCCTGTGATACATTCAACAAAATTGCTTAAAATGTAATCAAATCATCCATAATGCTCAAGTTTTACCTCTTTATTAGCTTCTCAGACTAAAGATTAGAAGAAATATACAATCACCAACTGGGTACAATTACTCTATAGAAATAACAAGTAAATATGACGTCAGATGCTAATCTAGCTTCAACAGCTAGACAAGAGAAATCAATGTGAGAATATGGAACACGTAGACCAATATATTTTGAGAGATGATTCGAACGTCATAAAGTAGATCCAAAAGAGAAACACAGTGTTGAAATGCAACAGTCAGTTTAGAAGGAATTTCGCCAGATAACAAGAAATTTGGATTAAAAAGTTAGGTCTCCGGAAAAATCTTTTTATGAAATGAACTGCACATCAACTAGTGGTAACCTCAATTCGATTTGTTTTCTAACCCCACCCCCCCCCCCCACAAATGAGATAAAAACAGAATGATAGCCAAAAATTTTTTTAAGCTACAACTCTTTTGGTACGCATAATACACTTGTCTCCCCCTTTGTTATCCAAATTCATTACTAGAATATTCATTAAATACTTCAATATATCAACAACACTATTACTAATCCGTGTATATATTCTTACGAGCTTATGTACTCAACATCAGTCTTATCTCTTCCTTCGTCGAGCCAATAATTTTGTGCCACACTGATTGAAGTATGTAAACCTTTTTGTATATTTTGAAATTAGAATTGTTTTAGGTTGTAAGCAGGTGATTGGAAAACCGAAAATAAAAGAAATTCATACAATTCCTGCAAAAACTGCTCTAATTCTATTTAAATTTATTCAGAAAAAGAACTGTACCATATTTAGTAATCGATTTATCAGGGTGTACTGCTATTTCACAATGCCTATTGACAGCTTATGTATATTCAACGATACTTCCTTCACAAAGAAAAATGGTGTATTTGCGGCACGAAATGTGCGATTCACAGCACTTACATTTAATTTTCTGGAAATTATCTGCCGTTCCTATCTATAGAAAGTAACTACTACATAAGTGGGATATGAAAAGCACTCTTCAGGTATGATACACTCTTCACAAGAGTTTATATTCGCAAATTTGCTTCCTTCCTCCCGCGACAAACGACTTCTTAATGGGATAGGGTTAAGATGATAAAAATTATGACTGTAGCTAAAACTCTACATGATTAGCAACGTCTACCTTTGTGATTAGGTGCTAGGGATAGATATTTGATGAGTTTCGTCATTTTTAGTACCACTGTACTTCAGCCAGTAAGGGTTTTAGATCATGATCTGCAATTTTCTCTCCTGGTACCACGTATGTTATAAAACTAACCAAATGACCTTTACTGATAACCCTGACATGGCTTTTGTCTCAGATTTTAAAAGACAGTCTAACTTATATGAAATCTGTTGAAAATAACTCTCCCACTGATTACCCGCCAGACACTATCCATCGTAATAATTAAGCAGATAGTGAAAAGCTTATGCAAAATGAATTCACCAAAAGCACCAAATGTTTCATTACAATCCTTAGTGAAATCGTTTCTACCCTCACCGTGATCAAAAGTAGCACTGTTTTCACTCAATATTACGTAGAAAATTCATGTTGCATATACAATTATCTGAAATTACTGGTCAGGTCATCTTGGAGTACTTGAAATTCATATTTAAATCTTAGAAACTCTTCAAGTAGGATGATGACATGCAAGCAAGTAGGCTTAAGTGGAATTGACTAGTTTCGGTTATTATTATAATATTTATTAGTCCCTTGGGTTCCTAGTGGGACACAGGGCTTCAGTAGCACGTCTCCAGTGACCTCTGTTCTCTAAAATCTTTTGAACCTGGTTCCACGACAGCTCACAAGCTCTCATTTCCTCCTCGCACGACCTCCTCCATGTCACCCTCACCTCGAACGTCCAACTCATCGCTTCCCATCGCGGTTCCACTCAAGGGCCTCATGCGTGATGTCCTCAGTCGGCCTTCTCAGTGCATGCCACTCCAATCCATCTCCACTTCCTCCCAGTGCATATTTGTTGCGTGATAGGTTCTTGGTTGGTTCGTTGCCAGAGTAAGTTCCTTGTTGCTTATTCTTATTATTCTGGCAATCCATCTGATCTTCAGTAGTGAGCCAGCGTAAGCAGTTGTTGATGAATGTCTGTAGTTTATTGGAAATCCATTTTGTAACGCGCCAAGTCTCTGAAGCATATAGAAGCACTCACTTAACGTTGGTGTTGAAAATCCGGATGTTGTTCACGCTTTGTGCTGAGTGCAGAAGATCTCCACATTGGTTTCAGGCTAATGAACGCCTGTCTTGCTGTCTTTCCGATCCTGGCTGGCTTTGACATCCTCGTCCGTCCCGCCTGTAGTTGAAACAGTGATTCCTAGATAAGTGGAGGAGGTTACTTCCTTTAAGTTTCTCCCGTTGACGGTGATTGGAGTTTGTTGTTGTGTTTCGGTTATTAACTTTGCCATAAATGATGTTGCCCAGATCATTTTCAAGAATGCTATGATAGAAGTGTTTATCTCTTTTATACAGTAAAAATTTCCTATCTTGAGTGGGCAAACACTTGCGTACTTAATTTAACGCGATAGTTAAAGAGGTCATCTAATCTAGTGAATAAATAGACGCGACCAAACAAAAAAACCCAGAACAGCTGCCATCGTCCACCTAGGATTTGATGCAGTATTGGAGCGTTCTACTCAAATATTAGTGGTTTGTCATATCCATCAGGCAACATTACTAACACATAACTAACTGGACCGACAAAAATTAAAATCCATTTCAACTATTTTTTTTTCAGTTTCTTGACACCATCTGAGCATGAAATATGCGTACGAATCAGTGTTCAACTGCAAATAAAAGTTGATATGCAAAAGTTGACAAACACAATAACTATCAGTTTTTTATAACTAACACCTTCAAATAAACATTCGGGTAAAAGTATATCAAATTCAACTACATACCGAATTTAATTAATGTTAATGACACTACATAAATTAAATCTAAGATAACTTAGAATAGAGAATAACTTTAAACTTTACAAAATCACACAAGAAGATTATGGATAGTTTGACATAAAGACATTACAACACATGAAAAAAAGATATTTAGAATAAAAAATTTCATTTCCATGAACGAAATGAAACGATAAAAGAGGTGTGTCTTAAAATGTGTTTTCTTCGAAAGTAATGAATAAATACAGTAATCACTGGCTGAAGAGTTTTGTTCAGAAGATAAAGAAAAGTATCACACTGTTTTTATTCCACTTGCCATTCTTTAAAAAAATCATTGCCTTTATCATCAACAACAATAAACGCAGGGAAATCAACAACTTCAACACGTAAAATTGCCTCCATTCCTGAAACAATAGATGTGATGAAAATTGATTAACAATGGATAATTAGATGAGTCAATCCGGAAATAATATGTGTGGAAATATAAATTACACGTCAAGATATAAAGAAATGTAATTCCTTTTCGAAAATCCCTATAGAAGACCAGAAAGGTATCCATGAAACACGGAACCAATCCTAGATCCAACAGACGAAATAACATCTTTCTCATAGGACTTTATGTAAGGAACGTTTCATCATAAAATACACATTACCTATTGATACATCCAATATTCAGGTAATATACACCATGGAATGAGTTGTTGACTAGAGAAAATAATCCGAAGCTGAGCGGGAAAGAAGGTATTCTTCAGTGCTTTGCACAGTTGATTCTTCAGTATCTGTAGATTCAATAATGAACTTTATTGACAAACAGATGGGGTAGCAATGGGCTCATTGTTGCGTCGTCTCCCTATTAATTGCTCCATTACTAATCTGGAGATCAGTAAACTATGCTCATTGACCAACCAGTAATATTTATTTAAGACATACATAAATGACGTTCATCATCTGTGAGGCCGATAACAACCTGGAACAAATACCATGAAGGTTCAATGAATGTCATAAGTCGATTAAATTTACCATAGAAATTAGAAATGACTGAGAATTCCACTTCTTGGATGTTCCATTGAGGAGACGACATGATGGTTCTCTAAGGAGGTCGATTAACAGAAAACAAACATGGAATGGTCAATAAACCCATTTCCAAGGCTGGGTTTCATTAGTCAGGAAAAGAAATCTAATTCATTCACTATGCATAAAAAATTATAAGAATTTGTACGGACGATGCAGTAAATGAGGGGCTAGAAATACTTTGAACAGTGTTAGTCGAGAATGGTTATCCTTCAAGATTCATTGAGAGGAACATGAAGTCTAAGAGTTTCAAAGAAGAAGCCCTTACGGTTCCAAAGAAGATACAGTTAGTGAATATTGTATTCAAGGGAGATACATTGGCAGAGAAACTGAAGAACCAACTGTGCAAAGCACTGAAGAATAAATTCTTTCCCGCTCAGCTTCGGATTATTTTCTCTAGTCAACAACTCATTCCATGGTGTATAAAGAATAAACTGCTGCTTTGGACCACCTCCATGCGTGTTTATGAACTCACCTGCTCTTGTGAAGCTGGTTACATAGGCCATACAAAGTATGTTCCATACAAATGCATCGCTAAACACTATCCTGCATGCCTATCTAAAGGATAGTGTAAGCTGTCAACATCTCAATTCTTGAGCAGTTGGTTATCTCTGATCACTGTGCTCCACTACAGTCTTTCTTCTGAGTCATTTATAAAGTGAAAGCAAACATTCTGAAGCGAGTGCATATTCGCCACCTCAACACAGTAGAAGCTGTAGCAATCTAGCATCACAAGTCTGCTTTGTGTGTTCAGAAAACGTACATTGAATCCCTAATTTTGCCTTGGTTGCAATCTTTATTCATTTCTTGGTTTATTAACAATAATCCTATAAGCGATTTTTGATGACTTTGTATTTTACCCGTTAGCCACTGATGGACATTTATATTTTGTTGTAGCTATGATTATGATGTATGGCTTTTGAAAATGATTCATCGGAAAGAAAAATGTCTTTGCTGAATTAAGTCTCACTCTGAATACATCATGCCAGCTAATGAAGGGAAATTTAATATAAATGAGTTTGAGAGTATACTAATACCAAATTAGGGTGATTAATTTGCGAATGATGTGCAGATTGCAAGGTCCATGTTGACACTTCTCACAGCTGAGTAGTTTATCAACTGCCCAACTGTTGTATCAACAGGGTTCCTGTTGGGAACCACCTAGTCAAGACATGTTGTAATATCTGACACAAAAGTATCATGAACTCGTAAAATATACTACTACTGAACAACTTGAGTAATCCGACATATTTTAGATTACTTTGTTCTGGCTGGTGATCTTTACAGATCAGTTTAAGTGATTTCTAACTACTCAAGTTGTTCAATAGTAGTATACAGTAATACCATTAGGTATTTGCCAATTTAATGACTACAGTACTGCACAGAATACGTTTAAGAAACGAAATTGCAACAGCTTTCAGTCAGTATCAGTGAAAATATAGCGAATTACATAACAGAGCAGTCAAACAGCAAAAAAATTTATATTAAGAGCCTTACAGATGCATAATTACTTTCAAGGTAACTTATTACCAATTGGTTATGTTGAAAGATTCATCTGACCTCTATACCACTGATTTTGAATAAACTGAAATAAGTTATGCATGCGTCAAATAAGCAGTTAAACTACTTTCTCTAACTTTTTATGAATTATGACCACAATGAGATAATTGATATTTAGATGAACAAATGAATACGGTAAAAGACACTTGGAGAGTTTATTTCACATGAGTGTGGATGAAACAACTATGACAATACTAGTAATTTCACAGTAGGTGCAAAAAAGAGAAACAATGTTTAAGAAAAGCGTATTTCATTCATAACATACAGTAATTTCAGAATAAGTTAGCAGCTGTTGATCCACTAATCAATAAAGCTGCCTGATGACTACATTCGCAAGACTAATTGAATTTAATCTAACTTATTAAGTACTCGTTTCGATAAGATTAATAACCATCAACCAAAGTTAGTGATAACAAAAATAATTAATGTACTTCGAGATGAATGCGGATTCTAATTTAGAGATAGTGTTCATCATGAACTGACATCAGTTGGGGAACCATTGAAAATCTTGAGGTACTAGGCAACTGTTTCGTCCTAGTATGGGACTCCTCAGCAGTACATGTCCACGAACCGGCTATGGATCGAATTCAGGACTTTCAGGTTTCAAGGCGAACGCGATCCTGAGCTCAATCCCTAGTCGGGTCGTGCACGCGTACAAATGAGGATACCCATACTGGGACAAATCAGCTGCCCAGTGCTCCCCGGGTTTTTAATGGTTTTCCAACTCATATCAGGCCGTGATCAATAGTATCTCTAAAAATAGTTAACTAAAAAAATAATATTGAACACACCTAATTCCGGATATTCAAGAACTTCAACCTTTTTTATGCAATTTTGAGCAAGGATCGCAGCTGGGCCACCAATTGAACCTAAATAAAAGCCTCCGTGCTTTTTGCATGCATTTGTTACCTAAAAGGTATGAAAATATCAGAATAATTGCTAGCGTCAAACAACAACTAACTCTTCAATACACTGTTAACATAAAACACTTTACAATAATAGTCATACCAATAATAAAAAGTAACCACCAATAGGTGGTACATACTTAGTATCATTCTATCGATGAGTTGATTTACAATACTAGGAAGAATCAGGAACAAAATCAGTCATAATCATGCTAGGACATATATACCTGAAGGCTCACTTTATAAACTGAAGCTAAGAAAGACAAATAAAAATATAAACGTCGAACCTGCTACAGAAGTGCATCGACTTTAGTTGCCACACTTTACAGCAAGATACAAAAAAGAAGAGATAGAGATAGAAAAAGACACCAAAGTAGTCACGAGTATATATTAAGAGGGGAAATAAATCGATGAAGGTTAATAAGTATTCAGGATCTCGAAAATGTCAGGATTTAATACTAACCCTAACTAGTTTTAAGCAGCTTTTTATTACAAACTCAAGGAAACTGAAGAAACACTGAAAAGTGTAAATCAAGGAGCTATTTTGATCTAGTCAGGTACTGACTATTTTGTAGGGTCCAGTCATATAGTGAGAAACATGTTGAACGATTCTAAACTATGAAAAGCCAGCTGCCCAATGCTTGTTCATCTTCAGTGGCCTGACTATCAGCTAGTATCAATCTTTTCACTGATTAACTCTTTCTTCCTGGAAAAGAAATATCATCCAGGTAAATGATAAATAAACTACCAATAACCTTGAGTTTACTCTCCTTTTTGGGCAAATTATGGTTCTACATCAGTTAAACACAGCAACCAATATATTGTATCTCAATTTAATTAGTTTAAAACACATTCATTAAATGCCCTAGTTATTATGACAAAATAAAAGTTGTCAGAAAAATTTACATGTAAACTTATCATAACTGACTTACAGATTTTGACCTGTTACCCTTGGCTAGCATAATCAAACTACCCCAGCCTGCTGGAATTGATCAACGTAAGAATCCATCCGACCAGCTGTAGTTGGTCCAAACGATCCACTGGCATAATTTGTAGGTGTCTTTGCTGGACCAGCATAATACACTGGATGATTGCGTAGATAGTCAGGCATTGGTTGACCAGAGTCAAGACGTTCCTTAATAGTCAAAAAAACCAACTCCATAGGAATTTTTTCATTTTCCTAACCAAACTTGAATAGTTTTCAATAATTCAGATAGTGTTGTAAGTGATATTTGATACACCGCTAAGTTTTTTACGACTAATGAATGCAACACAGAATACTGATAGTGGTCTTTAACTTTTTCTCTTACTGAGAAATATAGAAGTCACAATAATCGTTATTTCGAGTACTCAAGGATTTATTATCACCTTAATTTTATCTTCAATTGAACTCACTTCTTTAACAATAAACATGTTAAACGACAAAAAGTGGATTAGCATACTACAAATAATGTCGAACTACAAAGTCAAATAAACATCATCAGATTAGTATTTGATCTTTCTTCATAACTGATGATTACAGAAACAGCTGCTAAAAAACATAAGTGTTACTTAGGTTACTAGTGAGAAGGTAAGAAAAAGTGAGGCCTTAAAGTTTCACTTCGTTTCCCCTCACCTAATCTGGCAGTTTTATTCGACCCATGTAGATAAAAAATACTAAGTGTGACACTACAAAGTGTATTGCACTAGTTTATACCAAAAAAAACCTTCAGTAAAAACTTCAATCCTCCCCAGAACAGGAGACTTTTACCACATGACCGGTTATTGGTCAAGCAGAGCAGAAACAATGACTTAATTACAGGAAGCGAATTTAAATATTCTAAGGAGAAATGCCACAAATAATCTCCGAAATTTCTTGTACTGGTAAACTAATCAAATACTTCACTCGTAATATATGACTTCCTTATAACAATAACATAACTCTAGAGTATGCACTTCACTTTTATCAATACTATTGAAAGAAACAAGAAGATAGGTACGAAGGAAGGAATGTTTATTGTCAACAAGCTGGACAGTAGTCGTTAAATATGGTACACCTTGCACTAAAACTGTCATTTGCAAAATATGCTTCATTTCCTCCTCTGCTCCTACCTTAATCTGCTCTTCATACGTCTGCCTTGCCTCTTGCGTTTCTCTTGGCAGAATCCTTACCCATTGCTGGTAATTCTCTATGATTTGTGTCACCCTCTCAACATATACTACTTATATTTATTCTTATCAACAACCCCAACTACACTATAACTACTGATAATCACGTAGGTTTTACTTGCGAGACTTGAATAAATTTAGAAATCTGAACAAGTGAACAATGTCTAGTGTCAATCCTTTCACCCATTCCCCGCAATATTTTTGCGATGTTATTCGTTTAAGTTAACCATATGATCTAAAAAAACCTTTTGGAGCATCATATAAAACAGGAACTAGGTTTTATTAAATGTTCAAACCATGCTTGTGCATTCGTAAAGCACTAAACAGGTAGCAACAATAGTGATATAACCTGGTCTAACCTGGTCTGTGGATTAATGTAATGAAGACAAAAAAATAAACTAAGGCTTTCTGTCAATCCATAATAGAAAGAATTGTTGTGTAAACTAACCTTAATTTTTGCATGTGCAATATCACGAGCAACAACTAATGTGCCTGTCAGTGATAAACGAGTTCTTATAGGGTACTTAGAAAGTTCAGCTAAAATCTGTTTCATAGGACGATTCAGATCCACTATCACTACATCAGTAGGAAGTTCAGTTAGAGATGGGTCGGGTAAATATTGAGATGGATCAGTTTCCAATTGTTCGAGAAAAACTCCATCTTCTGTTATTCTGCCTAGAATCTGAAATTGTTTAATTTTAGTATGCATATGTATATTCAAGTAAAAAATATATTACAAAGATGGAAAACACAATATTTACACCTTAGAACACATAACATGAAGCAATATCTCTGTAAAGGGATATAGTGGTTCCGAAAAATATTTAAGCCCAAAAATAACCGCCGACTACAAGAACTGTTAATCGAAATAAAGAGGTTTTCGGAATTCTTAACTGCAACATCTTAGCTTATTTATTATGCGCAAAAAATGTTTTTACGCATGGTAGAAGAGTCAGGAAGAAAGATAGTATAAACTGGTTTATCTAATCTATGATACAAACAAAATATCCCCTCACTTATAAAGCATAATGCATCTTCGCATATCCAATCCAGACGAAAGAAACTTTTTCTAATGATGGCTTTCTTTACAGAACTGTCTGCATTCAGTTGTATTACGTTATGAGCAAGTGGTGAAATATAATACAGGGTATTCGACAAGTCAACCATTCAATAAGGTAGACAGCCTTCAACTTAAATGGTAAGAGAATACTTTGAAAACTGGCGATTTGACCACTTTGATACAACAATGTGAAAGCCGTCTAGAACCGCAATAACAAAAAACTAAAGTCAACCCTGAGTACTTTGTCTAATGGTATAAGTCATACAGAATATTGTAAATTAACAAGATCAACCAAAATCATCGTTATAAACCAATCTTAACTAATAGATTTCACCAGCGGTTTATTTGTATCCACCAGACTGCCTGATTGAGGTCCACGAGAGGAAAGGAATCAGTGGTTGAGGAGTCTTGATGATATGGCTGAAAATCAACTACAATGGCACAGATCTATTCACTCTGTGACATCTTCTAAAGCTTGAATATTCGCACTAACCTTCATCTTCGGATTGTTTATTATTTCATACAAGTTTGTCTACTTTGATATCACTCTTTTTCTATTGATTTGTTCTTGTTTGAAGTGTGGAAACTTGAGGAGATGCACTTGTGTGAGAGGTTTTACGTTGGGTTTTTTTCTGTCTGTTTGTCACCAGCTAAACTATGTGCATTTACAAGCTTATGAATTTGAACTGTTGTCAGATTCTCATTTAAGTAAACTGGAGAAAAGCAAAACTCCATAAAACGAGACTAATTAATTAAGAGAAAACCTTGTACACATTAAGATACAGCTGATTTAGAAAATGAATTTTCAGAAAAACCCTACAGAATCATGTCACAGTAATCACCTTAAAATAAGTATTTATGATGAGATGAGTTTTCGCCTTTAAGTGAAAAAGATACGCGCAACCAACTTCTTTTAGAAATTTCCAAGTTATGAAAGTGCTTAAAACTTCCTACTCAAGCGCAAAAGTTACAAGATATCACCTCTCGAAGGTACAAACGCTTTCTGCTGGACACACATCAACTTTTGCTAAAATTAGAGCGAAAATCATACGTTTTACATGAGATACTCAAATTAAATGAACTTCATCACTAATAAAATGACACAAGTAAGTAAAATAGTACTACTAATAACAAAGCTGATAGGATTAAGATCATTCGTGACATATAATACGATATGCTACACCCGAATGAAAACACTGTAAACAACTTCGGAACTCTATAATATATGACTTTCAACCCAATAAGTGAGAAGGCAAAGCAGAAGGAAGTTGAACGTTTTAATTCCTGCTCCTAAATGAGCAAAGCGAAATCTCATGGGTATGTAAAGAATTTTTCAGACAACCTTATAGGGTAGCCATTCACAGAGTGAGTTTAGGAAGCGATATTTAGAGTTTTGCTAACCTTTGAACTTGACAAAATGGTATGACGGAAAATAACTAATTTTTCGGTATTTCCTAGTCGAATTTTCGGGAAACAGTAATATTTCTAACTAAAAGTAGGTAGTCACTCATAGATTCGTGTACTGCACTATGAGCCACACATATGCGAGATGGAGCTATACCACCTGGATGTTCGCACCAAGATAGGTAGATATAGTTTCGATCTCAGCACAAGTTGGTTAAAGGCTGACTACTTGAACCAATGAGTCACAACCCCACTCAATTATCATGAGATGATCACATACAAAATGTTTAATTTACCTGTCGATCAGCAGAACAAGAGACACCAATACCAACAGGACAAGATGCACCATGTCTAGGCAGGCGGATTACTCGTACATCATGACAGAAGTATTTTCCACCAAATTGAGCTCCAATTCCAACTTTTCGGGTCAGTTGCAATATTTTTTCTTCAGCTTCACGATCACGGAAAGCTCTACCGTGCTCATTACCTAAAATTAGCATGGAGTGTTTCATGACAGAATTCAAAGTATTCGGAATATAAAAAAACAGAGTGCAAGGAACAGTGTCATGTACATGGTTTTTAGTCGTTTTCATGAATGAACTTCCTTCCCCACTTCTTATCCTCTTAAAAAACAGTGATCTATTCACAGGCATATTTCAAAGACAACAACAAAAAGCTAAATCATTCGATAAATAACAAATATTTACAGTAGGAAAATGAGCAAAGATATAAACCCATGTCCTTGCAATTAAAACTACTGGCTTTTCAAAAGCTGAAAACAAAAGATGAAGTATGCATGCATCTGTACCACTACCATCGGTTCTCAGTTATGTCATTTAAACCCTTCAATCATTCGTTCCTGGTGTCTCGTCCACCCAACTTGGAATTTCACATTTTCTTTCTACGATCGGAACAACAGTCACCTGCTTCTTGTAAAGGCTTTGTGACTAAAGTTACCCACAGGGACCTTTAATTTGAAATCTTGGGATCTAAATTTGCTGTTAAAAGTAGATAGATCAGATAAACTGATATCAAATCAAGTGTTCATTATAAACTTTATCTTCCTGAATTTATTTTAGATTTCAATAATAAGTCTATCAACAACTAAATCTTATTAAACATTATATCGAACACGCCACCGAGAAAGATACTTTGGAAACGCTTTTTCATGGGCGTAACATTTCAAACTGTTATACAAACATTCGAATTTTTCAAAAGTAACCGTGAAACAGTAAGAGATATTTGCATTTTGATAGGTAAAGTAACAAGTTGAGCAAATCACTTAGGTGACTACGTTCGTCAAAGCGGGATTTTAGTTTGAAAATGACAGTATATGTATAAAAATTAAAATCTCCGATCTGTACTGATTACGACGTCAACCTAATGGAAGACATTCAAGCAATCAAATTATCTTCAGTTATACTGTCTACAAATTGTATGGTAATAATAGTAATTTTGCTGAACATGCGTAGAATGCAATAATCTACTGTAAAAAAGAACATTTTTCAACCCCAAACAGTTATTTTGGATGCCATTTGGAGCCACCTATAATAAGATAATTACATTTTAGTTAGCGACACACTACTTACTAACTTATTCCAACACAAACTCAGTGTAACATTGACTAAACTTATAACAAACACAACTGTGAACAAAATATGCTATCTTAGATTACTACTAGGCTAACTTTCATATACCTATGTTCTTTTCGGTAAAAATCTATACCTAAGATATTGCGTGAGCAGTCAGATGAAAAAATAGGTCAAATATGCTGTGCTGGGTTCTGTCAAGCCCGAATTTATAAATATAGTCATTATTACTTAAAACAGTCTTGATAGCGTATCCTGATCGAGAAATGCTGTGCACATCAAAAAGAAACCCTATGTTTGGTGATTACCTTTCAAAATCGTCTTCATGAAACTTTAACTCTTAAAAGGTGCACTTACCCGTGGATGGTAGATGGTCCAAGTACTTGCAAGATGCCAGTTTTACAGTTTTCAAAGTAAATTCAGCTGAAGTCCCGCCAATAACAACAGCTAAATGGTATGGTGGACAGGCTGCAGTTCCTAACGTCTATACGAAAAAAAAATCTGACGAAAAGAATGCTCACTTTGATTTTCTCGTTAACAAACGAATACAGGCTATTAGCATTGAGAAGAGCCTTCGTTTGCTGATACAAGAAGGTTTTGTTAGCAGACCCACCACCTTTTGTAATAAACAAAAAGTCGTACTCGTTGCCACCAGTTGCATATATTTCAATTTGTGCTGGTAGATTAGTACCCGTGTTTTTCTCCGTAAACAGGTCTAATGCTGCAACCTAGATGAAGGCACAGAACGGCTGGATATAAGCAAACATGTCTGAAATAATCGAAATTAGTATATGGTATACTTTGAGTGAACTGACAGTAAATCAGTAGTGCAAACAGACTGACACTGACTTGCAAAATCAGTGTAGAATCTTGTACACAGGTGCATCGCCTCAAGTTGCTACAACTTACAGTTGCACACAAAGAGCATGTGGATAGAAAAGGAGTGATATCAAGGTACATAAAGTAGAATGAGAGGATGAACAATCTGAATATAGAAGTTGGTACGAATATTCAAACTTTAGATGTCAAAGAGTAACCTCGCCTGGTTAACTAGTTCACTAGTTACTAGCCGGTCCTAAGCCCGGGTAAACAGGGAAGGTTGGGCATACGGCTAGCAACCCTACACCGGAAAACAAATCTAACCGCTAAACAAACTTCACAGCACAAACGATATATAAAAAATAAAAACAAACTTATTCCCCGCTGGAATCGGAGAGGCGAAATGATGCCAGTTGGTGAAAGCCTTCGGGAAACCAATCGGCCGGGCCAATGTGTCTTCTCTCGATGAAAGCGAAAGTAAACGTGGGGACATGGAATGTCCGCACCATGTTTGAACCCAGCAAGGCAGCGAAGATTGCAAAGGAGATGAGAAGGTATCACATTGAAGTGCTTGGAATTTGCGAAAGCAGATGGAATGGGAGTGGACTCTCCAAACTGTCAACTGGAGAATCAATAATCTACTCCGATATTGTCACCCAGACGACAACCATGAGCACACTGAGTTATGGAGTGGCTATCATGATGTCACCAACAGCATCGAAGGCTCTCATGCAGTGGGAACCAATCTCCTCCTGCAGGATCAGGAGCATGACAGCAAGATTCAACTCAAAAGGAAGGAAGGTCACAATCATACAATGCTATGCTATGCACCTACAAATAATGCAGAGCAAGGGAAAAAGGAGGAATTCTACAGACAACTGCAATCAACACTGGACAAGACAGCAATCCAGTTGGCGATATCAAAATTCTAATGGGCGACATGAATGCCAAACTGGGAGGGGACAACACGGGAAGAGAACTAACCATGGGTCGAGAAGCGCTAGGTGAGGTGAACGAGAATGGAGAATTGTTTGCAGAATTCTGCGCATTCAACGATTTGGTGATTGGAGGCAGTGTGTTCAGGCACAAAGATATCCACAAAGCGACATGGATTTCACCAGATGGACACACTAAAAATCAAGTCGACTTCATCTCATTGTGAAGAAAATGGAGACGCAGTCTACTTGACACAAGGTCAAGAAGAGGAGCAGATGTAGGTTCACACCACTCACTGTCTAGTGCAAGCAACCTACCTTCCAAATCAAGTTGAAAGCCTTCAAGGAAGCTGGTGATAGACCACAGTTCAAGTACAACACTCGGAAACTGAAGGATGAAACTACAAAGGAAATCTTCAAGGCAGCCATTAAGATAAAATGGGAGATATCGAGGAACATGCCTGAAGAAACCTGTGTGGAAGAACACTGGAAGTCTTTGAAAGCTATGTGGAAAGAAACCTGCACAACCGTATTAGGAAGGAAGAAGAAAGAAGACAAGGAATGGATCTCGACGGATACCTGGAAGCTGATAGAGGAGAGGAGGATGGTGAAGCAGAAGATAAACCAGTGCAGTGCATGGATGCTCAACGACAAGAGGAACTGAGTACAATGTATAAAACACTACACTGGACAAAGAAGTGAAGAAGAGTGCTCGCAAAGACAAAAAACACTTCTACGAAACACTGGCAAGTGAAGCAGAACAGGTTGCAGGCTGCAGGTGTGAGAGATAGAGACCTGACAACATTGTATCAAATAACAAGGTTGCTATCTGGGAAGAGATCAACGCAGACGAAACCAATAAAAGATGAAAGAAAGAAGAGAAACAAAAAAAACAATGGGCCGACCACTTCAAAAAGCTCTTGAATCGACCACCACCACCACCTGCACTCCATCCAGAAATACCACCTACAGCCGCTGAACTACAAGTGAACATAAATCCTCCAACAAAAATGGAAGTCCTGAACGCCATAAAGCTACTGAAATGTGGGAAAGCAGCAGGACCAGATGGGATCCCACCAGAAGCACTGAGAGCAGGCGCAGAGACAACAGCAGACATGTTCGCAGCACTATTGCAGAAGGTGTGGAAGGAAGAGAAGGTACCTGACGATTGGAAGAAGGGTTACCTTGTCAAACTGCCGAAGAAGGGAGACCTCAGTGTTTGCAAGAACTGGCGAAGAATCACTCTCCTGTCCACCCAAAGCAAGCAAAATATTAAGCCGCATCATCCTGGAGAGGCTAAACGATGCACTGGATTCAAAACTACGACCGGAACAGGCTGGCTGGATCCAGGAAGTATAAATCATGTACCGACCAAATCGCAACGCTTCGCATCATCACAGAACAGAGTATAGAATGGCAATCAGCTCTCTACCTCAACTTCATCGACTTTGAGAAGGCCTTTGACAGCGTCGACCGAGAAGTAATTTGGAAACTGCTTCATTACTACGGAATACCAGAAACCTTTATCCGCCTCATTCAACAACTATATGAAGACGCCACATGCCAACCGAGTAATTCACAATGGGAAGCTCAGTGATGCTTCTGAAGTGAAGTGAAGACAGGAGTGAAACAAGGTTGTCTACTATCCTCCATGATACTCCTGATTGTGGTCGACTGGACTGGATCATGCAGCAAACAATGGGGAGCGAGAAGAGGGGGATACACTGGCTGGACCGTGGAAAAGAACCTAGAAGATTTGGATTTCGCCAACGATGACTTGTGTCTGATGTCACACAAACTTCAAGATCTACATGTGAAAACTAACAAGTTGACAGAAGAGGCAGGGCAGCGAAGACGGGACTTCAGGTGAATATAGAGAAGACAGAAGTGATGAAGATACCGCACCAACAGCTCCAACAACAACAACAACAAACTCCAATCACCATCAACGGGAGAAACTTAAAGGAAGTAACCTCCTTCACCTATCTGCCTAGGCAGCACTGTTTCAACTACAGGCAGCACAGGCACAGACGAGGATGTCAAAGCCAGCCAGGATCGGAAAGACAGCAAGACAGGCGTTCATTAGCCTGAAACCAATGTGGAGATCTTCTGCACTCAGCACAAAGCGTGAACAACATCCGGATTTTCAACACCAACGTCAAGTCAGTGCTTCTATATGCTTCAGAGACTTGGCGCGTTACAAAATGGATTTCCAATAAACTACAGACATTCATCAACAACTGCTTACGCTGGCTCGCTACTGAAGATCAGATGGATTGCCAGAATAATAAGAATAAGCAACAAGGAGCTCTGGGAACGAACCAACCAAGAACCTATCACGCAACAAATATGCAGGAGGAAGTGGAGATGGATTGGAGTGGCATGCACTGAGAAGGCCGACTGAGGACATCACGCATGAGGCCCTTGAGTGGAATCCTCATGGGAAGCGACGAGTTGGGCACCCGAGGGTGACTCGGAGGAGATCGTGCGAGGAGGAAATGAGAGCTTCTGGGCTGTCGTGGAACCAGGTTCAAAAGATCTGAGAACAGAGGTCACTGGAGACGTGCTACCGAAGCCCTGTGTCCCACTAGGAACCCAAGGGACTAATTATTATTTAGATGTCAAAGAGTGAACAAATCTGCGACATTGTGACCGATTTTCAGCCATATCACCAAGACTCGTCAACCACTGATTCCTTTCGTCTCGAAGACCTAAGTCAAGCAGTTTACATCTCCCCACACGCGTCAGACCAACAGTAAGAGACTCTATCGACTAATGCAACGTCTTGATCTAGCCCCTGCTAAACCCTCTTCCAACCTAATCCAACTTGATCTAGCATGCTAAGTCGAGGTAGGCGATGCATCGGCATGCGCAGTATATGTCCAAGCCATTTCAGTCGACTAAGTATATCAACCTAACCAATCGAAGTGTCTTTCTAGCCTAGTATCGTTCCCCTCATCTCAGCACTGCTCAAACGAAGATTCAATTGAGTGCGACTAATGATCAAAATCCTGTAACCACTTCATGTCTTCTACTTTTAACAAACATGCCCCAGCCAACCATACGATAGGACACAACAGACTGCAGCACAGTATACTTATCCTTTAATAGATTGTCGGATATACCGTTAGTGACCTCGAAAACAACCAACCCGTCCGGGTTGATGCAACTGCCCATGTAGGTGGAGCGGTTGACACATTCCACCACCACTCCCTCTCTATTATTACTAGCAACGGGCTAGTCCCAGAGCATCATCTTACATTTGACAGGTGTCAGTAAAACGTATACCAAAAATACACATATTTCCACTCAACACGCTCACAAGACCCTGCATTTTGTCAGCGTCTTCATCCAGCTGGACAGTATCGTCCGCATACTCCAAGTAAACCAGTGAAGTCAGACGTACCCAAGGTTATGTTTATTGGTACGCCTATGACGAAGTTTAATTGGAATGGTAACGGTGGGCATCCCTGGCGGACACCGCTAGTTGTCGACAATTCACATGAAAACTCTCCATAAGCCCTTACACGGTTGCGTGAGTTCGAGTAGAAACCTATGATGAGCATTACTTACTTGCTGCGTATTTCCTTCACTGTGAGAAATTGCCACAGCACCCGACGATTGACTGAGTCAAATGCCGCCTTCAGATAAACAAATATGGCAAGTGTTGCTTATGAGCCGGTAGGTATGCTTGTATTCCAGAACCCGTCGAAGGGTAAAATTAAGATTGATGCACCCTCCACCAGGTCTGAGACCTGTCTGGTTTTCTCAAGTTCACGGTTGTCAGGCCCAGTAAGGCGTCAGATAGCTACGAACCCTAGGATCTTGGACACGATATTATTCAAACTAATTCCCCAATGCTTGTCGCGAGAAGAATCCTCCCACTTCTTATAGATTGAGATGATCAGTGAAGTTGAGCAGCTGACGCCACTACCTAGTGACCCCGATACTTTAATCAGCAATTTCCTATATCCATTGTTAAAAATTTGAAATGGCCAACTGTCAGGTCATGTTGCATTGCATCGTTTCAGGTTCCATACACCTTTCTCAACTTCAAGGAGTTGAAGGGCCGACATCTACGTTTTATTCAGGTTCAGGCTAGATGTTGGGCAACTGGAGCGTTGCTGAGAACCAGTTGAATTGTGATTCAAGATGCCCTCCCCAACGTTCTAGATGCCTGTCTCGGAAAGTTGTCAGCGTCCCATCCTTTTCGGTGATGTTCTCACTCCCAATCGTCTTTTTGCCGGTGTTTTTAATCAACCTTGATAGTTGCCGAGTGTTACTTAACGCTGATACCTTACCATCTCCATCTCTCTCGCCTTCACCACCCACCACTGCTAGTGGTCGACACGAAGACTCTTGGTTAACTTACATTTAAGTCCCTTTCGCTCTTCATCGTGGTCAGAGCCAACTAGAATCAGTCTTCTCCCATCAATCATTTCAGATGACGTTGCAGAAATCTAATCATATTCCCTGACCTTCAAGTATGAGTTACCAACTGTCTTCACCGTTGTTCCCAGACCAGACTTACTATCATGTCAGGTTTCTTTAGGATAAGCACTCCTGTCACGTGCAAATAAATGCTTAGCTAACTCCTCCGTAAACGCGCACTCTGCGTCTTCATTTACCAACAGAGCACAGATGAGACTCACTGCCTCTTGTTTCCTGCGGCTAGTAAGGTACAGATATATATATATATATATATATATATATATATATATATATATATATATATATATTACACAGCTCACTGAAAAGGCTCATTATGAACACAAAAACAAGAAGCCCTAGACAACGACCATATCCACCAATTTTACTCAAACAAGTGAGTTCCCATGACAAATAACGTAAATGATTCTGCATTTCACTTGTGCAAGCGACAACTAAGAAACGCCAAAACGATGCTCAAACAAACAGGCAAGATCACCTACTATATTGGGAACAAAATAAATACAGGAAGCAAGAACAAGAAACGATGTTGCTTGTAAAATAGATACTGAGCACATCCATTTTTACGAAAAACAAATATTACGATAAATAAATTGTCAACTTCGATTCATATACTAGTCAGGCTGTTATACACCATATAAGAACATGGAATAAAAAAGAAAAACTGATCTTGAAAGATCCCTTTATGACAGTTGATAACCGCAAGTATCTCACATTCTATTCTCTCATTCCTCCTTGCGCTCTTTCGGTGACTTTTGATCACTTTCGACTTAGCCGTTTTTTATTTCCTTACCTTTTTAATTGGTGCATTTTCGCTTGATATGCTGATGGCAAATTGGAGTGCTACGCAGTAACATCAGGGTGCACATTAATAGTCTGTCCGTGACTATGAGAACACAATACTTATTTGAAGCGCTGATGCTTCAGTGTCATGGCTCACAAAACGAAACTGCGTTGGAAACTCCTTCATGGAAACCAGATGAGAGAAAATTTCTTCGTCTTATTCATTTTGATATGAATATCGATGAACAACTCTATGGAGGTTTTAGGTCTTTTAACCAAATCATTGTTAGCGACAGTGCAATTCATTACGTATGCATACGCCAATCAGTTTATCATGCTCATAAGATGCTGTTTTTAAGAACAAACTACTAGAAACATTGGCCCAGAAGTGATGCGTCTACCCTAACAAGTATCGGGGCCCCCATGGAGAACAGATGCTTGGAATTGTAGCCGGTATCCTTGTAAGTTATTTGAGTCGGCGGTTGGTGCAAAAACGAACTTGACCAAACTAGAGATATCTTACATGACTGGTTATAGCCCCACAACAGTAATGGAAGAATTCCTAAAATCAAATTGCTGGCAGCATGCTGATATGAAAACAAACTGACACTTTACTCTCTCATGAGTAAAAACGGATGGTTTATATTGCAGAGAAACTGTTTTGACATTTTCTTGGTCAATAATTAAGACTTTATACATTTGTGGACAGATTACTACTTGGTTTCACACCTCCATCGTGTAGACTGTAATGCCATTTTTGGTAGACTACAACCTGTTATTGCATTCACTAAGGTCTTGGTGTCTGAGTGCAGTGTTGGAAAACCCTCGACATCCCAAATTTCATCCTAGTTTACGTGTACTTATCTTCAGGTTGTTTGCACTCATTCATTAGCACTTCAAACTTAGGTTTGATAAAATTATTAGCAGTTATTTTAAAAGCATTCCAAAAACTGAAAATTTATATACTTGAGAGTACCGAAGATTTTTAGAGGTGTATGTGTTGTAGATGCCTCGTGAAATGGATTCTGCATCGTTGCCATCTGTCCAGACAAACTGGCCCTTTTTACCCATACAGATTGCCGTGCCTGTGTCTTGACAGCCAGGTAAAATCATTCCAGCAGCCACATTGGCATTTTTCAAAAGTTCAAGAGCAACAAACTTGTCGTTATTAGATGCTTCTGGATCGCTAAGTATGTTCGAAAGAGACTAAAATATTTATCGAATTAAACTGAATACAAACTTTAAGATGTGCAGGCCTGAGCAGATGAGAAACATCTATCATAGCTTGCTCAGACAATAATGTCAGTGCCTTTGAGTCCACCTTAAGGACTTTCTTACTGTCATAGTTACCAACACAAACATGATCACCTGCAGAAGACTTTAGAAGTTAAGTAATTTCCGCACAACCCGTCAGTTTTCGAAAAGGTGTACCTGTGTGCGCAGGTTTTTCTAGTTGCAATATTTCTTGATAAAAAAAAGGTTTCACTGCCACTGATGCTAATGTACGGCGAAAATCGGGAAACATATATGCGGCATTTAGGTAACGGCACTGCTCAAGCGGGGCGGGTGCGCATACTAAGGTCAGTCAGTGTAGATCCAATATCTCTTCAACGAGCTTGCATAGACCAGTTGACTTCTTCTTGCTCACTTCATGGTCTTGCGGAACGGTTCCAGGTCTTCGGTGGACCTCGATGCAGTAGATCCAGTCACTCGTCTGCCATAGCTCTGGTATACAAAACAGGAGGTTAAGTGCTGGTTGGTTCGCCTTGGACTGTAGTACAGTTCGCTTCTTCAAATATCGGGTTGCCAGACAGTTGCTCGGACTGGTCGTTACAGAGAGTCAGGGATAGTGAAGAGAAAACTTAAAAGGGAGAATTTGTGTGAGTAGAGGGGAAAAGAAAGATGGGCTAAGGTAGTAATATACTTACGACCGAGGAGGAGTGCAAACATATGAGGAACTTAGGTAGGTGAGGCTGGCTCATGAAAAGTGGAAGAGATAAAAAGGCTTAAATGGTTGCGGTGGAAATACAACTGGTTTAGAGGTGATATGTTTGAGATAGCGTGACAGCAGCTGATTTCTTCTGTTCGGTTTGCGTTTCGGCTATATATGAGTGGACCGTGGTTCAAATGGTTCATACGGTTACCGTCAGAATAGAGGAATCTTCTGTCTAGCTTGCTTCAGCATCTAGAATCCATGGATTGCTAGTTTTTGTGATTGTTGGCTTCTGTACGGGTAAAGAGAAGGTAAATGGTGGCTGTTTTTCAAAAACTCCACTTTTAACTGGCTGCTCTGCTGTGTTTTGTTTTGGTCTAACACTCGTAGGTATTCTACGGGTAAGAATAACCACTGATTAACCCCTGCTTCTGTCATATTCATACAAGGACAATTTCTTTGGGATTCTTTATCACCGTCCACATGCTGAAGATCACTAGCGTTGTCGGCCAATAAAATGAGCTGATACCAGGCACAAATTGATGCTACGCAGATGATGTATGCACACCAGTCAAACTACACTGTTTTGTTTTTTGACAAGTTTTAACCCAAATTTAACATAAAATGCCCAGGGCCTACGTATGGAAACATGTTAATAGTTGAACATACATGTGCATATGTCACGCTTGCTGTAAGTGTTGAATGCAGGTTTTGCAGCTATTGATGTTGCGTTCCAAGATTGTGAATCTGCATTGGAAGTTTTCATGGCACAACAGAGTGAGTGGTGAGAATACGTTTTTGACGTCAGATTTTGTATTAATATAGACCTTTCAAGATATGCAGGTCGTAATCTCAGTGTCATGAAACGAACGTTAGACGTGCTTTCCAAACCATGCAAGGTATTTCCCGCTGCTGCCCTGGTGACTTACTTCACATCCATTTCATGAGTGCCTGCGATTGGTGGGATATCTGAGGGTAGCAGAGCGGGAAGAAACGTGCATTCACCTTTAGTAACTTATTCACTGGGTTTTCCCAGCCAACAGCTAGTAAGAATTACTCGTATGTAACCACATAACGCATGAATTCACTCAGTTGCTCTAGATGTTCTGAAGTTGATGTGGTTCACTTCCGCAATATGAGCTCACTTTCACATGTTTCACTGATTTACAAAGCCTATAAAAATAAGATAGACATGTAAACTTACGTTCTTTGTATGCAATGCGAAGTAAATTATTGGGGGATGACGACATAGTAAAGGCTGGTTCAAAATCAACACGCATGCGGGACAGCTAAGAATCTTCAACGCAAATGTATGTGACGTGAAGTATGTGGCTAAAATACCAGGCATATCATCACAGGCGAAGTTACCAGCTATCGATTTGAAAGCATACGTCATCGATTTCTGTTGAACGGACTGAATAACGGGAAGGACCCGGGGGATACCTATCCCTTGTTTCATGCTGAAAGGGTAACATATTTTGAAACGTGATGCGAAGTGATTTCTTCGTTATTGTGTCGCACTACTCAATCCGCTCCCACATCTTCTGAACTGCTGATCGGAAAGACTGGTTCATGCAGGGGTGCTGCAGATGACCATGAGCAGTCTGTACCATGCTGAAGACAGTATGGCCCGAAACCATAGTCACACCCGTTAAAGCTGCAACTGTAACGAACAAAATCCAATCATTTTGGTATGAATGCGGGAAACAACTCAGCGGAGCCAACCTAACCCTAGCCAGACAAGTTCCTGCGTTCTACTGTATAGTTCCTGAACTTTCGTGGGTGGCGCACAGTCAAAGATTGGAGATACGATGTTGAAAACACGACTTGTAGCAGATCAGTGGTAGATTCATAATAAATCCGTGGTACCATCAAAACAATAACAAGTTACATCAACATTACAAAAATACCTCAACAGTGCCGCCGAGCAACCATACGGCCCAAACGTTCTCTAGCACAAGTACGTCCTGAGAATCAATAGGAATATTCTGGACAAATTGGAGTCAAAAACTCTGCCGACCATAATCGAATCGCTAAATAAATGTTTTCAGCAGCCAGTAAGAAGATAAGCTGTCAAACCGCAATGCAACCTTAAGTTTAACCAAAACAAAATTTCGGGGGCAGTAAACCAACGCCACGTTGTCTACAGTCCAGCACCACACAACAGACAAGTGTAGTATTCATGTAAGTTTCAACCAAACAAAGACGAATAGTGAGTGTGAAGTCAAAGAAGACAGTCAAATGGCAAAATATCATCACCTTGGTTAGGGCCAAAGGCACAATATCCGTGATAAGGGGAAAAATATTTAAATACATGTCGACGCTGCCAAGTATGGTGTTTTGAAGGGGCTTTCAAATCATTTCTCCGTTATACCAACTCATATATATCGTTCAGGCAACCATTACCTAGTTTGGAGTCCACAGCACTACGGCGTATAAAAACATGTCTCTGTTAATGACTGAAGTGCTATTAACGTGCACATTCGGCACTTTTAGCCTGTGTAATCGGATGAATAGCGTAAATCAACTTCGGCACAAAACGTAACATAGCGCAACATCGAAGACTCCTATCTGAAGACCAAAATCCACTCACAGCAACTCTTCGAAAGTGGCTATTAGGTTCGCCTGTGCTGCGCGTGCTTTTCAGCGTCTCCTTCAGAGATCCAACGCTCACGGAATGTGCCATCAAACACTACCTGGAACCTAACTAGACTCCAGCAACTGTGGGAATCCGCGACTTCCAGGGTGAGCGAAACGCTTCACGAACTTCATGCTGTTAAAATACACTCAATGTTTGATTCATTTAGTGAATGAAATGAAATGGAATGAAGCTGTCAGCAGATCTCTGAACAAACGGTCAGAGACTTAATAAAACTCGAAAACGCTGATAGCTACACTTCTGTTCACTCAACAGATGTTTGCCCTATTGTCTTAGGATAGGGTAATCTCATAGAATGGAAGGCCAGCTTCATGATACTTTACTACAGCCCACATGATGAGGCGAGTGTTAGTACCCGCAGACATCAGTATGAAGCGGGTCAACCTCTACAAAGTGTGACGGAAGGCAGCACCCCTCACTACTCACTTACAGAAAATCATACCACTGAGCTTCACAGGTAGGTCTTACGTTCGTGACCACTCCAGTTTCTTCTACTCCACCACTGGCGGCTGTGAGACATGCAATATCGTGGTTAATCTGTACTTCTTTTATCGGAGGTGTTTCACAAGATGTCCCAACATACACGCTACAGTCGGATGACATTTGTCAACACCCAACACCAATCAGATGAAGTTGCAATATGGTGCGCAGGTTCTCAGCTTCAACTCTGCTTCCCCTAGCAGTTTCCTTGACATGGTTAATGATGACCACAATCTGCCACTAATCATGGGTGAAAAAAGCAATCTCAGCGCTCTCTGCCCCAGATCTTAGTCTCAGGTACTCCGGTGGCTTAAAATTCTCTGGGAAAGATTCTATGATATCTCAGTCCCATAAACTCCATAAATTGGTCATTCGTAACCTCTCCTGTGCTTAATCAAGGGTTCAGGTTTACAAGGTGTGCATTAGCTGCTTCTATGGACACTAGCAGCTCATTCTTGGCGTTTTTCATCTAAGTGACAGACGTCAGGTCATAGGGATATAACGCTCTTCCAAAACGAGAATGCTCGCAGCCGGCTGAAGTTTAGGCTACCCCTTTAGGTGTTATGCACTAATGCCGGAACCCCCACGGGAGAAGAAACCTATGCTGAACGCTATCAAACGTTGACTCCTAAGTGGCAACAACCTTGGTGAAAAGGAAATAAAACGAATGGGAACGACTAACCAAAGTATGCACAATCATGAACTACTCGTCGAATGACCAAGCCAACCGCTGACTAAAACGATGGAGATGGGGCACTGCCAGTGCACTCTGAGAAGATATAAGAGCTACAGGTTCCATCCGGCCCAGCGAATGAGCAATGAAGATGCGTCAAAAAAGGAGCAGAAATTGGAAGAAATGCTAACAAACTTAAAGTACTTAGGATGCCCGACAGGGTGAACTTTCCGATCTGATCAAAAATGACAAGCTAAGACAGAAAAGAAGTACCGTTTAGAAACAGAATGGAAAACCATGCACGTGGTGACACTTCGCGAAGTGAGGCGTCCATAAAATATACCAAGACCTCCACGGATGTCCTGAAAATTTATCGAATGGTTTTGTGGTCCTGTACACGAGTGCCAGCAGTTCCTAAGGCAAAGGAGCTAGGCTACGCGACACAATCAGTGCAGGCAGTTGCGTTTTATACCGCGGTCTTGGGTTCCTAGCTGTTTCCCTTGTACATAAACCAGCTGCTGGGCATCATGAGATAGCTTACGTCTCTTTAACCTGGGCAAGTAAGAGTCCAGTGAGGGTGAAGGAATGACGAAATAAACTTCATAAAGATCCCCAATTTTCGCGCACCGGGTAGGGGAAACAGCTGATGCCTATCAAAGCAGCCAAGCGTAATCATGCATAAAGAGCATTCAGGCGGCAACACTGACGAAACTGGCGGACCACTCTACCGTTAGCACTTGCAATGATCCGGAAGTCACAGTTTATCATCCTATAAAGTCGCAGAACATCGAAAAATATGTAAAACCCCGATATAATCAGTGACATGATGTTT